CGCCCACCTGGCTGCTAGCATGCTTCAGGTGTTCCACAGTCAGGTCCTGTGATTAGTCTAATTTGCACAAATGTTGGCGAGCGCTGCACCTGTTGCCCCTGTGCCGCCTGCAGCCGCGGTCCCTCAGCAGGCTGACAGGCCTTCCCTTGGATAATCCAATCTCCTCACCATGGCGTAGCTGCTCTCCACCAGCGCAGGACAAGGGCATTCATTTTTTCTACCTCTTGTCCCCCTTCATGTTCTCATGGCCACCTCTCTCCTGATGGCTCATTATTGGACCATTCATAAATACTGCCACCCAGAACTCACCTCCCTTTTTTTTTTTACAGCCTGCCACTGTTTTTCCTCACGGCTCCTCAACAGTGCCTTCCTTTACCTGCCAATAAGGTGGGTAAAACTTTGCTGCAGGTTCAACAGAGGCCCCACAGCCTTCCACATGACAGCCTTCCAGTATCCACGTACTCCATTTGGATTTGAAACAGCGCCAGGAGAAAATCAAGTGACACAGGCCACACAGAGTGGGAGGGAGGGAATGTGATCCCACTTGATTGTTGAGAGTTTATATAGCGAGTGATGACAAAGTGCTTTATGACTTTGCAGTGTTCGCTGGGCCCTGCGATTGAAGCCTTATACAGGCAAAGTCCCCCTGCTGACCTTGGCTTGTCAAATGTTCTCATTTTCACCAGGAAGGAGCCAGTGTTCAGCGGCTACTCAGAACTGGTGTGCTGCTTTTAGAGAGACAGGCGCGGAAAGCTTTTGGAGGTGACCCATGCTTCCTTACTTTCACTGCTGAAAACACTATTGAGGAAAAGCATCAGTCAGAGAAAGGCTCAAGGCCACCGAATACTAACCCTATGATGAATATAAAACTATTAATATTTTCAACAAGACCAAGAGTCCACAGCCATGCCCAGCAGCTCTCTGAGACTGCACTTTGAGCTAAATGCTAACCTCAGCATGCTCACAATGGGCAATGCTAACATGTTGATATTTAGTATAATATTTATCATGTTGCCATCTTAGTTTAGCATGTTTGCATGTCAACATTCACTGATTAGCACTACAAAGTATAGATGAGACTGATGAGAAGAGTTAGTTTTAATCCAAAGTACTGGAAACATTAAACTTTTGACCTGATGGTGGTGCTGTTCCTACAATTGATCCTAAGGGGAACATGAATGTCTGTGCCAAGTTTCATAGAAATCCAGCTGATGGTTGTCAGTACATTTCACTGAAGACCACAAATCTCAATCTTAATGTAAAAGTAAAAGTCAGGCGATCAATCCAGCTGGAAACCGTGAATATAGGTACAAAATTTTGTGCCAGTCATTCTGATGGATGTGAGAACTTGGTGGTGGCGCTAGATAAAATGTCAGTGGTTAACCAGAGTTATGGGGATTCATCCTCTGGGCAACATGAAATGTCAGTACAAAATTTCATGTCGAAAATCCATCCAATAAATGTTGAGATATTTCTGCCTGGTCCAACTGGTTGACTCGCACATCACTCCCTATCGGCCGACGTTGAAATAGCTAGATCCATGCTGCTAGCGTGGCTAAAATCTGCATGGTCTCCAGAAACATAGATTATACAACAGACACTAAATTGCAGGACTTTGATGAGAACATCTTGAAATGTGGTTAACAGCGTTTCACCACAGATGGTGATAACATCAGTTCAAACTAGGATTCCCGAGGAGTAAAAGGATATTTCCAGAGGGGTAAAGCAACCACTAGTGTTCTACAGGCCCCGTCACACATCAAGTATTACATCAGATGCCTGCCACATGCATCTTATCTCACAGGGAAGAGGAAGGAGTAGCATTTCATCCTCAGGCCTCCTCTTCCTGCTTTGTCCATGACCTTTCCTATGCAAATTTTTTCACGACACTTCCCCCTTGGAGAGAGATGTCTGGAAGCCATGTTGGGTGGAGCTTGATGCTTCAAGAACTGGACCTGTACTGGTGGGATGTAAATTATCCTGAAAACAAAAGCTGGATCGGGATCAACGCTCAAGGACTTAAGGAGGGGTCTTAAATGAGTAAAGATGATGTGTGTATGGTGCAGCAGACAGAGCCACGGTAGCCCTCTGACTGGCTGCTATGGGCTAACAACCCTTGCATTGATCCAAGGAGACACTCAGCCCTCTAACCTGCTGAGTGCTCAGTTCCAGTGAACAATGGAGTTCAGAGCGCGTCGATACACTATCCTAGTGAGTGCTCTCCGTTTAGCAGCAAGATTGATGAGGTTAAGGCTCCCAACTGGGGAGCCAAATGGTGTCAAAACCAAGGTGTTGCTTTGGACAAACAATCCCTCACTACACTAGCACACTGAGAAGCGCTGGTTACTGGCGAACACACCAGCTGTACCCAGAAGTGTATTTATACAGACTATGTTTGTGAAAAGCTATGCAAGCTGCAGTGGAGGTTGTTAAGAGTGTTAAAATGTGGATGAGAATATGAGGGTAGGATAGGCACAGCTTTCTGAACAGGAATTCTCTGCAAATCCCTTAAGACACTAAATGATGTACAAGTGGATTTATTACAGTAGGTCCCTATAAATCTAAGGTTGGCCTGAACTCCAGGGAGAGGTTAATGGATTACAAAGGGATGTGGTATCGAACCTCACAGAAGTTTATACACCTCATCAATATGTGAAACGCTATTGATCATTTAGACCTTGATAAATTAAATTTATACAGTTGATTATGCATATTCAGAATGCCCTGTATGAGGAAAATCTGGCTTTTTCAGTCTGTTTTCATTTTTAGGATGAAGATCTAAAGTGTGACATAGGTGTAGTGAGACATTGTTAAGACCACAGAAAACTGCATATTAAGATAACAAACTGTGGCGGTTTGTGATGTGAGCTGTGCTATTAATGCTAGGAGCCTCATGGAATCATCAGCGACCCAACCAGTGTGAGAAGATCAAAAATTTTGAGGTTTGTTTCTCAACATGAAACAAGCACCAGTTCACAGAGTTTCATAAACTTTGCTAATAGAATTAATCCATGTTTCACATATAGCTCTCAGTCAGTTGGTCAGTCAGTCCAACACTTTAGATTCCAATTAAAGGGGAATTCAACCAATTTTGCACATTAAAGTCTGTGTACAAGTCTCGAGGAGTTCACACAGCAATTGTGAAGAAAGTTGTATAAAACCAATTGTGGCTCTAGAGGGAGCTTCACAAAATCTCATAGTAGGCTACTAGCGCGAGGCTACATTAGCGCCTACTAGCATAACATACTAAAACGATATCTAGGGTTTGCTCCATCAACTTCCCATCATGAGCCCGACAATGTTATAAAAGTGCAATGCTAAATCAATGGAGTATACATGTTACATATACTAGGATTGAAACAATCGCGTTTCATTTCTTAAGTTAGCTACATAAATACATGTAGCTATGCTAAATACTAATGCAACTACGCTGAACCACATGTAGCATTATTACAGCTCACCTATACTCAGGATTTATTGCTCTTATGCACACTCATGTTAACGGTAGAACTAAATTTAGCTGGGAATGTCACAGAAGAGCACAGACTGCTAAAAGCCAGGGAATGTGAAGCTGAGCCTGACACGCTGACACTGACATACTGAAATGGACATTGTAAATAGGATAAACTCTTCTGATTCAGGCAACAACATGGCTTTTCACTGGTGCCACCTCAGACCAGCCCTGAAATGTTTTGCCCATCTGGTGGTAATAATCTAAGATGTGATCTGAACATTTTAAAGTAAACATATAAATCAACATAATTTAAACATTTCTAAACATCAATTTGACAATATTATGTTAGTTGTTATTATGTTGTTGTTTGTTCATCAGGTAATTTTCAAACACTTCAAAGTCCATAAATGGCACTGCTCCCTGCTTTCATGTAGGATCTAGAAGACACACACTAATGACATCAGATTACTGAGAACAATCACAGCTTACCTTCTGTCTCTGCAATTATTAAACTACCTCTCCTTTCTTTTCCTTCTTTCTGCCTGCCTCACTCCACCTCAGTATTCTTTACTGCTGGATTAAACAAAAATAATTTATTTTAAAAATAAGCAATTAAAAAAAAAAAGAAAATAAATGAGTCTATGTGTAATCTTTAACATCTTTAATGTATTCAAAAAGGAATAGGAAATCCGACTCGAGAAGGCAGCACTCCTACTACAGAAACCAAATGACAGGAACTGACAATCCACCTACAGAAATAAACAAAACCTCACATGTTTAATGTGTAACTGAGTCACTTACTCATTTCCAGAGGGAAAGCTGAAAAAAGGCTGAAAGTCCCTGCCTTGTCATGCTTTCTGAAAATTCACTACTGAGTGATTCATGATTGTGCACAGAGTATATGCACATGTACGGTAGTATTCTCATCTGTATCTGGTCTTACAAATGCATTACAGCTGCTTATGAGAGGTGATACAAAACCCAGAAAGGAACCACAGAGATTAAGCTGAAGCTTTGACCTAAAATTGGCCTTTGTATGTGGATCACTTGACATTCAGACATGTTGGATTTTTTCCAAATGGTAAAAATTGACAGTAATTTACAGTACTGCTATTACTTGATGTATAAGGCTCAAGCTTGTCTCAGAGGATGGAAAGTCTCTCTGGTCTCATTTTATTATTACCAAACTAAATTTTTAGCCAAACAGAAAAAATGCCACAAACTGTTACTTGATATGAATATTGCAGGAAACTTTCCTACCGCAGCACATACGCAACCACATTCATACAAACAACTCTGAGGAATTAAAAGCAAAAACAAAATGACACAACCCACTTAAGCAACTGACAACTTGACAACTTCAGTGTAATTTGAGTATTGGTTTGTTATTGTGCATTTTGTTTTCCTTTAATGTTAACAGAATGGATGGAAATACAAATTATGTACATTTTACTCTATTAGGATTTACAATCACCACTGTAACTGAAGGAAAAGGACACAAATGAAAAACAGTAAATGTAAAATATAAACATGAAAATCTCAGTAATACTTGGTTTGTCCTTTAATAGCAACATACAGCAGTGTGTATTTTGTGTCCAGCTGGTTTCAAATAAATATAAAGCAGTTTCTTGTTGAAATGAACCAAATTTATTACAGTTACGTACACTTCTGTCTTACACTCAGATAGTGATCAGCAGCTTACAGAGAGGACTGATCACTGAAACCACAGTGCTATGAAGCGAAAGTTACACCACTTGATTTTGTACTTCTTTTAACCAACCTTATACATCCACACAAATTCATTCTTACTAAATCAAAAATATATATCATTTACAGGATACTGCAGTATTGTTGTTATCATTTGACACTTAACCTAAATCCAATCAACATAACTAAAAAAAGAATGTGTAGACTAGGACTGGTGTCACACAGAAATGTTCAGCGTCCCTCTACCTTTTCTGTGTTCCTATGAAGGCCATGTGATGGAGGTGGAAATGGCACGAGCGCTGATATCCCTCCTTCTCACTCATGGACTCTTCTTGTTAGCTGGAGACAGAGTGAGTAATTCAATAAGTCAAGAATTCATTTATTGCTTTCCTTTTCAATCATGGGGCAACTTTTTTTTTTAAACTTCCCCCATCCACCTCCACACCGAGAAAAAAAAAAGTGATAGAAGTTCTGCAACTTCCATCTGTGGCAGCCCTCGTTGTCTTACTGCGGCTTAATTACAAAATATTGGCGCCGTTTTCTGTAAAGATTACTCACTGTGGGAGGCCCTACATAATTTGGACCGGAGGGTTTGTCACGGAAAATAATACAATGCAACTGGGCTTTCTGTATTAGATTTCCGCTTTTAGCCTCCTTGACATTTCAAGCTGCATGAACTAATACATCTGTTATTTGTTGATCATTTGATTATTAACATACTTCACAAACCAAATCAGCTGCCCTGCTGGAGACACAGATACAGCTCAGCAGACAGTCTGGGTTTCCTCGCCTGCCACACACAAACGCACTCGCAAAGATGCACAATTCAGCCCTCAGTGAAAAAGGAAAGCGGGGGAAAAAACATTTATCTTCCCCTCCTTTGAGCGTATGAGCACTCTGACACCGGCATGGAACAAAGCCCGTCATCACATTCTAATCTCGAATTTCAGGGCTTTTATTTCACCCAAATGCCACCCTGCTGGCCTTGTGAATTATTGACAGACTGACACCAATGCGAAAGGACACATAAAAGAGGCTAAAAGCTCCGGCCCTGGAAGAGCTTGTCCTCTCCTATCGCCATCAACAGGGAGACAAACTGTGTTAATGCTTCTCTGGAAGCTCACGGTAACTTTTGAGACTGAAGAACCAACATATGACTCCTGACCCACAGCTGCACTATACAGCAGAGATACTCTGTGCAGCACCGCCTCTTTGGTCTGTATAAGAGCCTTAGTTACAATTACAAGGACACCAAGGCAAAGCTGTGAATTATCTGATCAAATCATGAAAATTAAAAGCAGTAAGTCACACACGGTTAGTTCTGCATACAGCCTTTTAAAGTCATCCTGATTTGACTATTGCCTGTCATTTCTCATCACAAAGTAACGTCACAACATGGTACTTGGCTCGGCATGCAGTCATTTAGTTTGCATGATGAAAAGTAAATTGAGGTAAGCCATGTGTCAACTAGACAATATTTGTCAGTTTTGCGACTTCTCACATCCAATGCCTACTCCTCATTTTGCTCAAGATTAAGATGTTATAGAAACAAGTGGAAACAGACAGTGAGGATGGATTTAAAAAAAAAAAAACAAACAAAAAAAAAAAACAAACAGAATGAGTGCGAGCGGAGAGCAGCAGATTGAAACAAAGCCATCAGCAGAGATGAGAAGTGGTGTTTGGAGAGTGTTTTTGTGCTTTCTACTGTTGTCTAATCCACCTCACTCTCATTGCTGGCACCCTCGGGCCGCCTCAGTTTGTCCACCTGTTCATTAATCTGTCCGTCTCCACCTCGCCGATCCTCTGTCTGCATGCTTAGACCCTCCTCCTCCTCCTCCTCCTCCTCCTCTTCCTCTACATGGCTGACATCATCCTCCTCCTCTTCCTCCTTCCTCTCCTCCTCCCCCTGCACCTCCATGCGGACCTGGTCCTTCAGGTCCAGGGGCAGCACTGTGCTGAGGACCACGGTGCCGACATCTCCATTGATACCGTGAGCTCCATCAGGCCCCCCCAGTAGTGCATCCTGAGGGCTGTGGTGTCCATCTTTGATGGGGGAGGTGTTGGCTGACTCATTACTGACAGGGGAGATGTCGCTGCTGCTGTTGGTGTGGTTAATGGACGGCGAGCTGGATGCTGAAGGCGGCTTCAGGGGAATTTGCCACGAGGGGATCTTAGGAATAGTGGGAGTGGAGGGGAACTGTCTCCTGTGGGCAGGGGGACAGACAAGAGAGAGGAAGAAAGTGAGAGCTGATGATGAGCCTATCAAAAACCTCACCGCGATCAAAATTTGTGAAGAGCTTTCCCACGATCTAATCAGTCATACTGCAACCACAAAACTACATATATAACACTAGAGCATGCACAAACAAAATACACACAAAGCACCCTATGTAATTCTCATAATTACAGCAGAGAAAATGGCTTTCCCCCCTCAAACAGCCAGATGTTCATCACACCTGGTAAAGATGCTCTAAGATTTTTTTTTTTAATTACCCCAACTGCAGCTTTTAAGATCAAAAAGACAATGTTGAATTGTAACAGGATCAGCACTACTTGGTGTTTTGAAAAACTGTTTGGAGATAATTTGGATCATTTGAACAGGAAGGGAACAAGTCTGGAGACAGATGGTGATACAGACACTTTATTTTGTGATTCAAGCCTTTGCCAGAGAACTCATTGTGGGAGCCAGGATGAAGTCAAGAAAGCAAATGACAAAGGGATTATTACTGATTAGAATGTAGCAGGGGAACAAAACATGCTCAACAAGACAGTTCTGAGGCAATTTTCGTCCTTGCCGGTTTTCTGATGTACACTCTTACTTCAGGCTTCATTATAGACACTGATACATAGTCATGCATGCTAATGGGCCTCGCTGAGCAGGGCTGCACCTGACTAGATTGAGGAACAAAGCTGGATGAGGGGACATCTAGCAGTATACAGTGAGATCTTTTTAAAACGGTGAAATGAATTACTTGTATTAACATGTAAGTAAATTAAATCTTAAGTTTTTATATATGATCAGGACCAAGCTGATTTATCATTAATAATTTCTCTTGTCTTTTATTTTGCATTCATGAAATGACTGAGGGTTGCACAGGAGCAATTATGCACGTGTGGTTATCTTACGTACCAATAAAGGCAGTAAAACACAGAAGACCAGCTGATGCCTGCAGTATGTTAATTGGCTGAGCCAAGTTGTGAAGTAAAAGAAATGGTACAATCAGTGTTATAACCTCTAGTGCCCGTGAGATTAAACATATTTGAGATTAATGATTATGCTTTAAGTGCGCAATTTGGAGGAGCAATGTGACATGTGTTCTTTTATTTTATTTATTCATACACAAACACAAACTTTCAGGCCATCTACAACAATTCTGGACTGTAGAGGTGAGTATGCAAAGATGATGCATAATGCTCATCGTGTGGTTACCGTTTGTACATTTTCTTTAACACCTAGTACTTTCTACCACATCACAGTCCTCAGCAGTTAGGAGTTTATAGACTAGATTGATTAGTCATCAATTAAAAGCTATCACTCAATCACGCTGGAGTTATCTCCCTTTATATACAACCTTCTGTACTTCAGTCAGGTGATGACAACTGAGCAACCAAAGTGCTGGAAAACATTAGTAAGTGTTCCATGAGTAAAGATGCTCAACATATGCACTCGTCAAGAGGAGCCACGGAACAGGCTGCGTGGCTTTTTTGGTTCTTACGACACATCTAATATAATATAATCTTTATTTGTGTTTTAATCTGTCAATAAGATGCTTGTGCTATCTTTTTTGATATGTGCAGTATGATATTATGTGGAAAAGCATTTTAAAAAAAAAAGCAAGTTAAAAAGCATTTTAATGTCAGGAGTAAATGAAATGTGGCCAAAATCACATCTGGATAGGAAGTGCAAGTTAACACATGGTGTGTTTCACATTGACGGTCCTTTTTCCTGTTTAACACTGTCAAATGGTTCAAATGAAGTGCATCCAGCAACATCAAGCCCTTCAACAAAGACACACACTCATACACCTGTACTACTTTTCTTTTCTTTTCCACCTGCACTGTTTCATGTGACGAGGCGTGGATAACTCTGTTACCTGCTGAGCAGTAAGCCCTTCAAAGAGACTATCTCTTGCTTCAGCTCTCCAATTGTTTGGTTGTCCAGGATACGGTTGGTTGAAGATGATGCCTATAGGAAAAACACAAGTGACACAGGCACAAGCACTGTTCAGGTCACATGCAGGGGCACAGCACAAAGTCAATATATGTCTTTCAACAACTCCTCCATGTTCAGTCTCAACAATATGAAATAATTAAAAAAAAAAAAAAACTAAAAAAAACATTGGTTTCCAAAAAAGGTCATAGCCTGCAGGGTAAACAAATATGGTGAATGCAAATGCTAAAAGGCACATGTTTTTGTGTAGTCAGGTCATCCATCACCATAACAACCTCATAACTGCCTACTGCTGGTGATGACAGAGAGGAAGACAAAGAATCATACTTCAGCCACCTCGACTGCTCAGAGAGTCCAGTGAGTGTGAATCATGCTGTTTTTACATAATTTTCCATACTATCTAGAAAAGATTAGGCCAGTGTCCAGTGTTTTGGATAATGACTTTATCTTGAACAATGGCTACATTCATGAAGGCAGACCATAGCTTAGCAGTTTGTTTTGTTCTTTTTGTCTTTTATCAAAGGCATGTGTTATCACACACACTGGTGCAGCTTGAAATGCTACAGGGAATAATAGCAAAGTATTTGAATGGCAAATTGCTGGTGAAAATCTGTCTCTGCAGCACTTTTTTAGGGATAGGCAGGACTTTGACAGGGGGAGCTATAAAATAACGAGTTTTGATAAAGGCCGAGAGAAAAAACATCACGTGGCAAGTGGCAACAGGCAAACCCAACAATAAAACTGAGCTGCAACTGCTGCAAAGTCTTGTAGACTAATGGGTACTGCAACATTAATGGAAACAACTCTGTGGGGGAAGACCTTAGAGGCCTAACATGCAGGTCTCAAGATAATTCTAAGATAAATCTAAGTAAGATGATTAACCAGATAAGTTGTTTTTCATTTTTTAAACTTTTTTTTAAATTTCTTCTGAAATACCGGTATTACCTCTTCATGACACTTGAATTGCTCACACACAAATGCAACCGGTGACGAAGCATCATGAGTTGGCATTGTTTGGCTATAAAGCCAAAATGGTTAGAAGCCAGTGATGTAGTTAATTGCTCCCCATTCTTAATCTATTCCTGAATAAAGAGTACAAACATGTGCACTAGCAGGAGGATAGACTGATGAGACCAGAGGGAGGAGAGGGAGAAGACAAGGGAAAAAGTGGGATAAAAGAAAAGTAAAAACTGTAATTAAGACTCTCCTGACTCACCAGAGGAAGCTTGTTAGGAAGCGTGGACCCCCTATCGAGGGTAGAGGGATAACTTGGACTCTTTCGCTTGTAATTAAATCTAAGAGAAATTAATTGAATCACATCTGAAAGGGATCAGACTCATTTACAGTGGAAGGAGGGAGGCAGAGGAGGAGAAGTGAGGGGAGACAGAAAAGGAGACGAGGAGGGGAAGGAGATTTTTTTTTTTTTTTTTTTCGGCTGTTATCGGCTCCTAAACCTCGCTGATAAGGAGCCGTGTTTTAGAGGTGGTGCATTGGAGGCCAGCTGAAGACACTCTTATTACAGCCGTCACCTCATTAGAACCATCTTAATCCCTTGCCTCCCCAAGGCACCCGTATAATAACGCTGGATTCTGCTTCTCTCTCATTTTACATCGAAAAAAATTAATTGCTGTATAGGCTGAGCTAAAAACCTTCCATGGCACAAAATCAGCTTAAGAGAATGGCACATTTCTGCAAATAACTGAAATGTGAGGATTTCGATGTGCGTATATCACTTCGTATAAGGGGAAAAAAAAGGCTTTCGAGGAGAATTGTTAACCGCTAGCTACATCCATAATGTGCATTATCTACAGAGCAGCACCATATAATATCTCACATCAAGGCTTGTCACACAACACTACCTCTGACATATGTCTAATTAAGTCTGAGGAAACCTAATTAAATGTTGGGCCAGGACTGAATTTCAGCTTTGAGATACATTATGTCAGTGTTTATACACACACATTGAGTAAGAATCTTGTGTTAAGTGCACTAGGTGCTTGGGTGGAGGCTGAGTGGTGGGGTATCAGTGACCGGAGAGATTGAAAGTACGCTGCTGACTTTAAAAGCCCCACCTTAAGTGCTGACACGTATCCAATGGACCGCACAAGTGTGTAAGTTGTGACGTTTTATCAAACTGCTGATCAAAATATTTAACCTCTGAAATGATTTCGCAGCTCTGATTACAAAGGCATAATTTAAGAGATATTTCCAGGTGGGATTTTATAATGCAGAGTTTGACCTATGTATTATTATTCTCATCATCATTTATCAGTAATAACAGATTCTTGTTTTTTCGCCACTGTATGTACATGAAAATTATTTATTTATTAGGTATGCTATTTTTGCTGGTATGCTGCAATGCGTTTTCTTTCAATCTTATATTTCCTATATAAATACATGCATCGGTTTGTTTTTGTACTGAGGGATTTTTTTACTTAATTATTATTGAAACTTAAATACTTCATATTGCATTCTCTTGTAGACTTGATTTAAATGCATGCATCCAAATGTTTTACCCTGTGATTCACTATTTTGTGTTTGCTGGTTCCTAGCATGTGGAGCTAATACAATAAATAAAACATTTACGTTGACTGTGTTGTGATGTCACTGCCCTATAGGCTACATATGACACTACATTGTGGTTTCATCCTGAGGACGGCAATGTGTGGTAAAATGAATTGTTCAGACATAAAAAGACAGAAAAATGAGTGATGAGTGAGCATCTCTCTTCTTTCCTGTGATATTTGACTTTTTCCACCCGTCCCGGTGTATAGTTGCAGGGCTCTGAGGGCTCTGTGTGGCCTCAACAGTGGAGAGCATAATCCTCTTCTTGGCGCTGCACATTGCATCAGGCATGAACAAACAATCAACAAACTAGAATTACCGCCTCGCAGTTGTATGCCTTCATCAACCAGTCAAGTTTAAATCATTGTCTGTATAGATGTTATATATGAAGTGAAGACTTTAATATAAGGAATTTATTAAAAGGTATTAAGTGTATTTTCGGTGAAATGAAAATTATATATTAACATGTATGACTCCAGTGAATAATCTGTCTTCCTTCACTTCACTTTTTTCAGAGGGCAACGGATGACTGATATTGAGCCTCATCACATTGTGCAAAGACAGTCACCTGCAGCTCAATATCAGCAAAACCTGGGAGTTTGTGTTGGACTACCAGACGAACAGGACGCCCCCGGATCCTGGTTGTCATCCAGCGAGAGGAAGTGAAGAGGGTGGAATCCTGATACATAAATACAATTGATTTGACTTTCCTGTGTTGAGCTTTGTTGCTCTTGTTCTGCGATACGTTCATTGAATGAAACTAAAAACAGGGTCAAATTCCTCGTATGTGTTCACATGCTTGGTGAATAAAGCTGATTCTGATAGAACACAGAGTTATGGCCAAACCTTTTTTTTTTTTTGAGAGGTCACTGTAACCTTTGATCTTTGACCACCAAATTGATCAAATGATCCTTGAGTGCAAGTGAACACTTGCACAAAAATTTGAAGAAATTCCCTCAAGGTGTTCCTGAGACGGATGGACAACCCAAAAACATAATGCCTCAGGCCATAGCGTGGAGGCATAATAAATGAACCAACCAACCAAAACCAAAAAAAACACAAACCACTGCACTGACTGGGTAGGTCTTTTACTGTGTAAATACCGTATAGTAAAGATTTCCTCTAACTGGTTTAAAAGCCTTGTAACTAATATGTCTCAGGTGGGTGCCTGGGGGTGATAGGCCTCTTTCTGCCTGTTAACTAAGTGCTTCAGGAAAAAAAGGAAAAAAAATCTAAATATATATATATATATACACATACATACGGCTTACATATACATGCATATATATTACAAGCAAAGAAAAAAAAGATTATCAACTCTAGCAGCACCCAAGGACGGCAACGCATCTGGCTAAATGAAGATAAATGCCTGTGGACCATTAGCAACAAGATAAGATCTTTAACAAGCCTTGTTTAAGAGTGTCTGAAGGCAAATTAATTCACAGTTACTCCGCCGGCAGACAGTGTGTTTTCGTGTAACGCATGTATATTTATGATGGAATTAGTTTCAAAAGGAAGTCCCCAGAGGAGTGTTTTTGAGTGGAAACACTGGTACAGTGCAATTGCTCTATTTATGCACTTTCCCACTGGCAGTATGTCTCGCGCAAGCAAGGAGGCGGTTTCTAATCTTCTATGTAGTATCCACTAATAAAGAGAACTATCAGTGAGTTGAGACAGCAAGGCAAACACAGTTAACAGTTAGATTTGTAATGATAATGGAGCAGAAATAGACTTGGCTGTTTAACATCAGGGATGAATCATCCTGAGTCCCATCTATCCTTAACACGTGCGGTAGAACACAGCAGCACGTCTTTAAGGAGTCATGAGAAACTGAGAAAATAGCGAAAAAGAGGAGAACTGTCCCAGGGCCTGAAGTCAGGAAATGTGCAGCATCAGCACGTGCTGTGTGTGTGGACATGAGTCAGTCTCAACTCACTACCATAATGAGGTCCCCAGTTTAGGGACAGTAAACACACTCCGCAATTGAGCGGTTTCCAAACTACGAGAAATGTTTACTTAGCAGCTGAGGAAACAGAAGTCTCCATGTGTTTCGGGTTAAAGGCACATTTCCGTGTTGAGAGGTATAATTGCTAAGCGTGGTGCACTTTGAGCAGCATGGTGAGGCAAACCCCGAAAGCCGCAAACGGTGAATGATAAGTAGCTCGCCAGCTCCAACATGTGTTTCTCATCAAATATCCCGGACCTGAAAACAATTTCCCAATTTCCCCCATGGCCTGAGACAACAGAGGGCCTCGTGCCGACTCGCAGGGAAAATTTAAGATCAACACTATAGCTATAAAGCTGAGTTTATGATTTGTTTAATGGGTGTTTTGATGTGAAATATACTTTTTATACACTACTGCTGTCCAACTAGGCACTCATAGCAAATGAAGTAGACACTTTTTAATCCAATCTATGATTTGGAGATGACGAATGAAAAGAAATAACATCCCTTGTCCCTTTATGCTGTGGAGGGACCTCATTGTTTAAAGTGGGCTGACAGTGTGCCTGACAGAACACCTCAGCTGGGTCGCTTTCAGACCAGCGGGGGGTCAAATCAGCTCCCATGTACTCACACATGCTGATCTGGGCCACCACTGCTCTCTACACCAGAGAGACTGAATGGCTGAGAGCTTGAAACAGCACAAAATTAGGTACCAGTTGTCAGTTTTTGATTAACCTTGTCCGGGGAAGAGATTCATATTTTTCTTCCTCATTTGTGCCGTAGCAGATGTGTCCGCATATGTTTTCCTGCGATATCCAGATGCTACAGTGAAACACCCGTGTGCTTAACAGCTGTGGACATAAAACATTGTCTAAGATCGTCTCTTGCGAGGACTTTTTAAGAGCTCAGAGATCCTAAAGCGATTTATGAGCATTGTTATAAAAAGCAAAAAACATTTCATCCCTGCACATAAGTTTTTAGAACACTCACTCCATCCGATTCACCCAAACACTTACAATTCTGAGTAGATTATGAACAATGTCTATAAAAATCAAGGCGAAGAGGAATGACCATACGGTTAAAGATTATGGGCCCATGATGAGATGCACCATACTATTTTGCAGCTTGTGTTCTGATGATATACAGTATAATAAGGCTGTCTGTCTTAGGTACTTATGACTCGGGACAGCGCGAGAGATTTTAGTACACAGAGGCCTCGAGAAACCTTTTCTCTCTCCTCATCAATCTGGAGATTTGAAAATGCAACTTTATGTTTACTGAGCTGTTCTGTAATTTCAGAGTTACTGCCTGTCTAGCTTTCCTCAAAATCATAAATCTCAACATAACAGACCTCAAAAAGGTGCAGTCTGCAAACTCTCATGTCCAAAATACAGCAAAGCTCAGTAAAGTTGTTTCCTCTCCATCTTGTTAGTTTGCAGTATGATATAACAACACAAATACATTATTTAATGAAATTACTAATTTACAACCAGTTTCTTAACTAGGCTTAACATGCCAGATGGAATATGGATGAATATGAGGAGAGTCTCCAACTGTGGTAATTGTGCTACTATCTGCTTTAATTACATTACAATACAAACTGCTACAATCTGAAGTTTAATCCAGGAAACCAGTGAAAGGAGAAAGTGGTGCAAAAAAGAAAAGAAAAAAAAAAAATCAGGTAGTTTTAACTGCAACCACTGATATTCTAGCAAATTGGAAATTTGGAAAGTATATGGGGTGGTAAGTGAATGATGCTGAGTTGCTGATGAGGTGGTAGCTACCTCTGATGCAGCCAGTTCCTGAGAGAGCTCCTGGATTCTCTGCTGCTGCTGGATCAGAAGCTCCTGGACGGAGACCAGCGTCTGTTGCAGCTGGCTTACTGTGGAAACGAGCAGAATAACAGTCGGTAAATCCCGCAAACTTTAGAACACATTAAAAAAAAAAAGAGAAGTAAGATTGTGTGATAAGGTTGTTTTGGTGCCACAAAACTGAACATTTTCTTTTCAGAGACGTTGACAGAACTGATGAGACTCAACACATGTCACCGATCAAAGCTGTCCTCTAAGAATTGTAATCAAAGCTAACACCCCGTAACTTTAGTCGCAGCTTTTTGGTCGGAGGCACTGAGGGTGGAGGGTGGGAAGGGGGGGGGGGGCACATAGGATGGAGATATTAATCTCTAGTGTCTGAACTTAAATCAAATAACAGTCTCTAACCTTCCATTACCCACCCAGACACTGCCTTCTAATGCATCTTAAATCCTCAAACGATCAACAAAGGAAAAAACAAGGCTCTCATTTGGGAGGAGGCTGCCAGACAAAATGTCCCCCCTAATCCTAATAAATATTGTTCTTTTTCCATTGACTTTGAAGATTGAATTAGTTCAAGTGTTGGTGTTGGATGAGGGTGTATGATTTCAAATAACACCGGGCACAGTTTGTTGCCCCCTGCTTCCAGTCACGCGTGTATTACCAAACAATGCATTAAGTTTCCCTGAGCTGATTATATTACAGAAAACCAATAAACATTCATATAAATCATGGGCGTGTAAAGTGTTAAATCAAGCCTAATAGGATTAACATCAACAGATATTGTGGCGGTCCACTGCTGAGGTTGTCAGGCCAATGGTTAAAAGCCTGAGCTGCAGCCGGCTGGACGGGATGTAAAGAACCCTCCTTTCACATTAACCCAGGCCAGGACAAAAGACAGAGTCAGGCTTGGAGCCTGTGTTTCTTTTGAAAAACCAACACAGACAAAATATTTGATCTTTCAAAGACACTAATATCTTGTAGTGACACCTGTGTTTAAAGGGTGGAGTTGTATCAATATAGGTGGGGTGCTGAAACGTTTGATCTTTTCATGCTTGCGGAATCCTAACGGAATACGAGTTTGAGCAGGATGGTCGGTTTGGGCCTAAAACCAGTGTGCAAACAATTTGAGTTTGTTACTGGGTTTGTGATCCAGAGTGTGACCAACCTTTCTGAAGACGGCAATAAAACTAAAATACCGCGGCCATCCCTGCTTAAAAAGGTGTTAGTGTGACAGGGTGTGTGCGCTAAGCCAAGAGCTGCCCTATTAGTCTCCGATTCCGCCTCGCCACAAAACAGCTTATCCAGATGTGTGGGTCAGTCTGCCAGCCTGTAATGCTGTACCTCCTGAATTACCATTGGCACCACTTTTTCAGCCACTTCAGCCAAACGGTTCACAGACCAACTCTTTTCATGTCTCTCCACAAAGTTGACTCCTCTGTACTGCTCAGACACTTGACAAAAATGCGCAACTTCAGTTCACTTCAACTACAGTTATCACAGATATGAAGCCAAGAATAATGAAGTCAATGACTTTGGCCAGGCATGAATCAGAAGGAGGCTGTAGCAGTGGTGTGTGTGTGTGTGTGTGTGTGTGTGTGTGTGTGTGTGTGTGTGAGAGCGAGACAGAAAGAATCGGAGACAAGATGATGTGTGAGGCTTGCAGCTGCTGTGAGGACGGTGCACATTGTGTATTCAGTAAATTATTCAGTAAATACCTCTATATAATGTACACTACATATGTCCAGGCCTGTCTCTGTCTTTAATGGCCAGCTGGTCACCAATATGGCTCCTACCGACTGAGAGTGCCCAAACAGCCGCACAATTCCATTACAGCCTGGGTACGCTGAAGGAGTTCCAAGATCCATTCATTAATTGTCTGTGTGAAGTTGTAGGCAAATCATAATGGGAGTCAAGGCCCCTACTCTCGAGCTGAGGCTGGTGAGAGAGACTAATGTAGTCCCCATTCAAAAGGATACATCACCTCATTGCGCCCGGCACTAGAGAAATACATGAACTTTAACAAAAGGGGGTTCAAGCAATTGGCAGCAGTGAGGCAGTCGGCCGCTATTACTCAGTGCAGCGAGAAGAGAGGGAGCGAGAGGGAGAGAAAGACAAAGGCAAAGCAGGGGGAGAAAACTCTCAATGTAATTGCAACCCCTCTCCCCAACTGTTAACTACAACAGTCATTAACTACAATAGCAGCTTGGCTACTGCAGTCATAGCAAATTAGTTCCCCACACTGGCTAGAAAAAAGACCTGTGTTTTTTTTCCTTTTTTTTCCCCCCAACTGGAGGCTCACCTACTCGCTGCAAAACTGAGGAGGACTCAGCCTGTGAAATCCTCTCTTTACTGACAAACAAAACAGGGTTTGTAAGTTGGCAAATCTCCAAAAAGTGATAAGTGGAGCAAGAATGGGCAGTGAAATAGCCAGAGGAAATGCGTTTGCATAGTTGGGAGAAAATGACCATAAAAGAGCATATATTTGTTAATCAGATTCAGGGTGGCACACCTCGCACGCAATCTCACACAACTGCTGCCCTCCACCTACATTATCCAGCCAGAAAACAATGGCATGGGTGTGACTGGATGAAATGATAACAGCAATACTTTCATCTGCACCATGTTGGTCTGTGACAGGAACTGTAAACTCAAACAACTTGATTTAAAATCAAACAAAGGATACCTGTATTAAACTCACGGTATGGCATTTCTGATTCAAGTACGATTCCTTTTTTATCTCTCTACTGCACAAAACCTCGATAAACACAGATCTAATGCTACTTTATAGTTTTACTACTATAATAATAATAATTATATAATAAGAATTATAATAATTTGGCAAATTACACGCATTTGCGTCACTAACACAACCAAGTTTTTACCCTGTTTGATATCTCATACAGACAGGGGAACACAGGTCATGTACATTACTGTGACCTTTTCAAATTTAAAAGGAAATTAAATTAAAAAACACATTTGGATTTAACAATTTGTGTTACAAAAAATGAGCTAAACACAGACCAAAATGATGTAATATGCCCCTGAAACTCTAAAATCTCAAGCAATTAAAGTTACTCAAAACTCACCATGCTTTTAATGTTTGATTAAATGCTGTTACCCTATCCCTTTAATGTACTTTAGTCCTCTTGGTTCTTTGATTTAACTTGATGTTATAATAAATGTAGAATTTCTATAATTATCATTATTTTTAGTGTCGCCTATTTTTCTACCGGGCTGCTGATCTCAAACAGGGATTGGTACCTTTCAGGTGAAAACACTCCAGTTCAACACTACTGCTAACAAGACCAAACTTTCTCAGAGTGCCTCCTTCATTTACGCCTCCCTGGATTTTTAATTATACTGACAACGAGCTAGGAAAGCATCTCTCTCCTTGCTTTTCTCTCTCTACATGTTTGACAGCCAGGTTGAGATTCCTCACCTGTCCAACATGGGAGCCGCACCTGTCACCGTGCACTTAATCACACTAGGGCCAATGCTGAGCCCAGACGCCACACAGTGCCATGCTGCACGCATGGTACACACACACACACACACACACATACAAAGACACATACACGCACACAAAATTAAAATGAACTTTCTCGCCACCTACGGGGAAGAGGGTGGATGATGATGATGGCGGTGGAGGTTTGGATGGGGCTGAGGTTGGTGCAGGGGGAGACGGATGGAAGGGGGGAGTGAGAGAGGATGGGAGGGGGGGGGGAGAAAAGTTGTCATTTCCCAACTCCTCATTAATATTCCGAGGTTAAGAGCTTTTCAGCGAAACGTAATTAATTGAGCCCGAGCCTGACAGTAAACAAGCAATTTCAAATTAAAGCGAAATGACAGCGGCGTCATTTGTTAAAAACGTGCGGGGCCCCCCGATTTTGGCGACAGATAAATGAGGGAAAATGTTAAGGAGGGAGAAAGTGATGAAGATATTAATCTTCACCTGTCTGTGTCAGCGTGCCACTCATTGCCGCAATGTTGCTTTCCATCCTCTGCAGATGCTTCTTGTCCTCTCGGCTGCCCATAATGAGGGGAAGGATGTATTTCTGCAATTAAAAGCATGGCACAAAATTACACTTCTCTCCAGAGGGAAGGGGCAGAAAGATGAGGAAAAGACAGGGCCACCTAGACTTGGCTCTGGAGGGTCAAAAGCATTGTTTTATTGGACTAATGCCTAATTGTCTAAACTGCATGATTAGATGCATGTATATCTACCGCAGTGTCCAAGCAACTGATACAGGTATGTGCACACATCTATGTTGAGACCATTGGTCGATTAGAAAATTAATCAACAAGTTTGACAACCAATTAGTCATTTTAGTTATTAAAAAAAGTTATTCATCAAGCATAAATGTCAAACATTGCTAATTAAATATCTTTGGGTTTTAGACTCTCAAAAGTAAAAACACTTTGAAGATGCTTTGAAAAAATTTGAACCCAAGGTTTCTGAGAAAAATTTCAAATTCTTTCTGCCTATGGACTGAACAATTAATGTGTAAATCTAAAAAAAATAATAATTAGGCTAATCTATAATGAAAGTAACTGTTAGTTGGAGCCCTAAAAACACATTTACAGCAATGTAAATGAAGGAAATCCAGAAAGGGACAGTGAAACCAAGAGATGGGCCTCCAGGGAAAAACACGATGGCGAACACTGAAAATAGTCCTCCAAAACCAAAGACAATGTCATGTTGTTTATTATCTCTCTGCCACTGAATAAACAGAACTCTACCAAATCATATGTATGTCTGACAGCCAAATGAGGATGTTTGTTATCCAGCGTGAGTGTTACCCAGATGAGCAGCTTGTGTGCATTTCACTGAGTCCTGTACATGTGTGTACGTGGAGCTGAGCTCACCAAATAAAATCACGTCAATTTAACCTTGGGGAGGGGGGGGGGCCCACTGAACTGCACTCAAAATGTAAAATAAATGTTTTCTGGGTTTTAAGGCTGAATAAGGATCATTTAATACCTTGCAGCCAGTTGCAGCTTGTTGCTCCCCAAGCCGGGTTTTCTCTCCAGCTCAGGTGGCAAGCAGACACACCAGCGCAAGTAATAAACACTTTTTAGAGAAAAAGATTAAACGAGTGTCAACACGTAGTAATTAATAAGTGGGTTGCTGGGAGTGTGGTGTTTACAAGGTGCACCATAACATAAATAAAGTATGGGCAGAAGCCTGGACATATGGTGCGACTGGCGCTACGCTCCAGTGACATGACAGCAACCTGTGCCGTCCCGCCAGGGAATCCCACCTCCCAGGCGACCAGTGGCTGGCAAACCCTGCTGCACGTAGCGGACTGGTACAGTGTGTGTTTTCATCAGTGAAAGACCGCAGGGATAGAGGAAGAAGAGACAGAGGAACCAGAATGTGCATGTGCAGCCTTATGAAAGGCTCTGTAAAGAAGAACGAAATAATAGGACATAACAGGATCTAAAGAGAAGCCAATATGTCTGACAGGGTCAGGTAGGCATATGCATGTACATGATACGCGCTCCCTTTCTCTCTCCTACAGACACAGAGGAGAACGGCCTGTCATCTAGGCCAAGAGCTACTGCTAGAGCTCCTGTCCTCCTCTAAAACGAGAGTAATGGCTTCCACATGCCACTCAGACTACTACTAACAACCACTATGGGATTAATGTCACCGGGGACAAGGGGCCTCATGAGCTCATGTTCAAGGGCTGCTAAGCCCGATAAAAACCAGGGTGATTATTTTTAGACGGTAGGATGGCAAAAAAATGGTTGTGTGCTGTGTTAGCAACTATATTTTTTAGAGGAATAAAAAAAAAAATATCTGAGAGGAGGAGGGAAGGCGAAGTTAAAAAGAAGGGGTTCAAATGAGATCATGCTTTGACGTAAAGCAGGGTAGCTTTAATAACAAGACCAGAGTGATGTTACATACTGCAGAGGCGCCTTCTATTCTAGCACCATAATTCATCATAAACTGATGTACTTGCAAAGACCACCAATTTAAATGTAATATCAGGGAGAGGCAGTACTGACAGATCTTAGGATGCGAAGCCTAATATGTATAACAAATTTTAGTGAAACATTAACTGTGAAAACAAAGTCAGTGAGGAAACATTGTCAAAAGGGCAGGAGAAGCAGGAGAAGCAGGAGAAGCAGGAGAAGCAGGAGAAGCAGGGTGTAACTTGCCTTGTAAAGCTGATGAAAGCCAAAGGCGATGCCCACCATAATGATGGTGAGGGCACCATAGTCTCTCCATCTGTAGCCTGCTGGACCTGGAGAGGGGGATAAAACATGTGGTAAAATACTGATTTACTTTCATTTTAATACAGTTGAAATGCTTGCTCAAGACACTGCTTGGGCTGAAACAAGAAAACAACAACTGTTATAGTAATTTGAGGTAAATTTTATATTGCCTTAGTAATTTACTTCTACAATTAATAAACACAATGTAATACAATTTATCTCTGTGTGATGTTAAAATCATTGCATATAAACCAAACGTCAGAACAATGCAAGGTTAAGTCTGCAAAGCAAAAAGGTGCTCTCTATCCTGCTCTTCCAGAAAGGACTCCATTATGCTCCACTTATTTGGGGTGGGGCCAAATACAGTATATGTACATAACCCTTTAAACAACTGGAATGAACATAAAGGTGTGTGTGTGTGTGTGTGTGTGTGTGTGTTTGTGTTTAGAAGTTGACTGTCTTGCTGAGTGACAGATAATGTGAAAGTGTGTCATTGTGCAAGCTGTCATCTGGGTAGGCCAACTGTCTGTCAAAGTGGAAATTCCCCACATAAGAGAGGCATTCAACTGAAAATGTCACTAAACAACAAACAGGTTGGGAGGAAATATATGAGTTTTTCTTTTATTTACTCTGGTGGGGCCCAAATGAATAGGAAATTATTAGAGGCTAAGCCACTAAAGTACACCATTGATATTCTATTACAGGTCTGATTTCACCTAATGGGTTATGTGGTACGTGTTTACTGGCTTGATGCAAGTAAACCAGATTGATCTTGTGCCTTACCACTTGTGTGATTTGACATGCAAATAAAATGAGAGACCCACTGCCATACTGGACTATATGGTACATTTTCAAGGTGAATGCTATTGTATTTGCCTTACTCAAGGGCATGTTTCATCGCCGCTGCAGCATTCAGGCATGAACCCGTAACCTTTCCTATCGAAAATTTTGAATCATTCTCCAACATCCATATGGTAACCACATAAATTTGGGTCTTCATCAACATTATAACTGCGATAGTCTGTCACCTATCCCAGAATACTGTGCTTCTGAAAGGCCTGGGAGTCCTTGGGATAGGTGGTTGACCCTGAACAAGCCTCACTGCATCACCAAGGGTCTTCACTTGCTCTTTTCCCCCCCTTTAGGACCTTTCATTCTTCCTGTCTCTCCTTTTTCCTCTACCACTTCCACTCTGCCATCTTCTTTTTTTTTTTATTTGGTCACTTAAGCTGTGGAACTGTGGTCTCCATCCCCCGTTTTTCCAATCTCCTCTCAAATTTATTGGGTTCAGTGGAGGCCTTCCTGTCCTTCTACCGCGTGGAAATAGAGATCAGAGTATCCATTACTTCGACAGAGATGGATGCGGGTCCCCGTGCACCGTCCCCATAACAAGGACATCAAAGGGAGGTAGCCCCCTCTTTTCGGCATGACCCCCCATACAAGACTCCTCGCTCTCACCTCATTATGCAGCTCCCTTATAGCCGTTTTGATATAAAACCCCCCACTATGGACGGAGAGCTGCGAGTCTCCCTAACTACATGGCCATCCCATCAACATCACTTTCATTACAAAACATGAGATGCCAGGGGAGTCAAGGACAGTGTGGTAATAAATGAGGGTGGAATACATCTGGAATCATTGTCATATGGGTTAAGCATTACGCGGACTTCATTCTGCATTGGTAAATCAGTGGACAGCACTCATAACCTCCTGAGGTAATAAAGATACAGGTTGCGGTGTGGGGTCTTGCCAGGGTGGAACCCCTTGAAACAGAATGGCAAGGGAGACTTCATGAGCTTGTGCTGTGCAACACTGTATTCCCTGTGTCTGAATTCACAATCAAGGCAAATGTTGCATAGCACACAAGTCTGTAAGCCTTGTAAAGATCCTGGTATTTGGTGAGCTATGGATAATCCTGTTTAGTGGGTTTATATTAATAAAAACAAGAGGGAAGACTCTAACAGCAAACCTGCAGTGGACAGGGATCCAAGTTTTAAATTAGCCTCGACTACAAATTTGTTTTTGAGGTGATAGTGTGCATATAAATATAGTTAGAATGTGTATGAACCAGGTACCAAAGGGGAGAAAACGGAGTGTGCACTCACTGTGAGTTGCAGGAACCAGTTGAGTTGCGTGAAGAGGATGTGGGGGCCCCACAGGGCTCAGAGGCAGGACTTCTTCTGTGCTGCCAGAGCGCTGGATGGCCAACTCGACCTCCTCATCTGTCAGCCCTGGAATCAAGACACACACCTTTAAGACGTTTGGAAGGGGTGCAGTGACTCTGTGTTAATGGGAAACGCCAAATGGCTCCATGGCTGTCATAATATATACTTAAATACTTCCCAAGCTCCCCACAAATCTTTTAAGTACAATTTAGAGAATGTATGTCAAATCGTCATTCAGTTTTACCTACCCTCTTCTAAAAAATGCATTTTCATTTCATGATTCTCAATGGAATTCTCCATTGAGAGTTTCTGTTTCAGGGACATCCATCAAAGAAAGATAGTCTGGAAAGGTTCACACAATGAAATCTGAAACTCTGCTAGCCTATTAACTGCCACCAAAGGCAAAGAAAATAAGAGTCTGTCCACTTCTCAAGTTATATTTCCCATGTGGAGATTTCATACACCCCAGACAGTGAAAATGCATTATTTTAATTTCTTCATTGTAATGTAAATGTATTACATAATTTTGCAAATGCCAATATAATTTAATCTTCAGATCTTTTTAATGATTTTAGTGATGATTAAATTGCAAAGGGCTCCCTGATGGAGAATCAGAGGGGAGGAGAAAAAAAAAATCTAATATGAACATCTCCTTTTGTGGCAAGAAAGGATTTTATTTCAGGCGCCATATACTGCCATTGCTGTGGGTCTCATCTTTTAATGAGCTTCTAAGCCTAAACAAAGGAAAATCATTACAACTTTTGATGAACTACAATAAAATACAACATTATCCAATTTATAGCAAAACAATAAGGAGAAAGCTGAAAACAAAGAATTAAAACCGTTAGATATTGATAAGCATGCTTTACCTTATAATGAAAAATCAGTACAGTTCGTATTATAATGTTGTATACTGCTCATTGTAACTTCCTAACCTTTTACCATTACTTGTGTAAGCCCTTTCCCTCACTTATTGACAGAAAATCCCTTTTGTAACAGAGCCTTTTACTTGAACTATTCCCTCGGGATTTGGAGAATTTACACAAGCCCAGAATAAGCTTCCTCCATCTTTTGAGAGACACTGCGAGACAATTGGAAAGGGTTCAGTTGCAGTGTTTCAAGAGCTGGCTCTTAGTTTTTATTAAAAGTAACTGCGCAAAGCCAGATCTCTGATACTGACCTACAGAGTGGTCTTCATAAGAGAAACACACAGTAACACTCATATAGTTTTAATAATACTGTATGTATTGTTTAAATACGAACAACAGAATAGTCCATTTCTCAAGGTGAATGAGATATTATAACCAAAATCCTTTCATTAAATGATTCATCCCATTTGAATATATGTTTCAGCAGCTTAATTGTGAGGCAAATCTGAATGGCCAGTTGAATCAGAAATCCCACTGTTACCTACCACTGTATCAGCAGCCCTAAAGCATAAAGAAATCTTTTGATACCCTACCACACAGCTTATGCCAAGGGGAGGTCCCTCCCGTCACCTATTTAAATGCTCCGAGGACTTCAAATGGCCATGAAAATTGTTGAATAATTGAAGGCAAATATTGGCCAGCCTGTAGTCTACAGCAGGTCCTGAGTGCCAGGAAGTGGTGAGCACCATGTGCTGAGTTTGTGCAGTCAGACTGCACTGTCAAATAAGCAATAATGTGTCCCTGGACTCCTGATTCATCTGACCACAGCAGACTACATGGTGGCAGACTATTGAATGAGACCTGCAAGGATCTCAGTTTCACCGAATGAGAAGAAATAAAAACATGCTTCAGGTCTTTCCTTTCACCTTGAAATGTAAAGTCTTTTTTAAAAAATCCACATTTAGGATGCTATTGAGCTTAATGTATGTACATCTTAATGGCTGTTCATATCTTTGAAGTTGTGTTTGCAGCAAATGAAAGGTTTTTTTTTTTTTTACCTTGCATCTAAATAAAATACATGGAAATTCCTAAAGCTATATTCTAGTCAAATTACAGCTTGCTAAGTTGTGTTGTAGGCTCTGATCTGTTTATTGTTGAGGGGAAGACAACACCAAATGAAAGGGCCCTTAGATCCAAAAGAAAGGGGAACAAGGTGAAAGTGAGTTTTACATATAAAAGGAAAAGACAAAAAAGGGATTGTGAAATTTATTATGGGTTCCAAAACCTGTGGAATGACCCCTGGACCTCCATTTCAGATCGACCTGTGGGGAGATGAATTTTTTAAGACATAAATTACACCTAATGACGACACCATAAAAAAGAACAATAATGGAAAGCTATTCTGTATTTCATTATACTGTATTATTTGGTGCACCTGATACACGCAGTGCCTGTTTATGAGTCACCGTATTAGCAGATGCTCAGCCAAAGCATTTGCTTTGACCTTGCCATTCTCATTGGGGCATGAAATTACGGTGCTGGCACCTCGATATTACAGCTATAAATACTGTAAACTGCATATCTGGGCTACGTTTTCTATTGTCTTTCAACATAAACCTGATCGGTATTTATTTAAAGGAAAACCCATTGCTCGTCAGGTTATTTACAGCTCTATTTTCAGTGGCTCATATTCTCTGGGTATTTTTTAAGGGCAAAGAGGCAGCAAGGCTCTTACATTAAATCCATTTCTCCAATTCTGGCACTTCTGGACTTTATGGGTCAAGACCTAAGCCGGACAGCCAATTATAAAAATTGCTTACTAAAATATTTTGGGTGGTAAAAGGTGAATGCCTTTTTTGCTGTCCTCCAAGGCCTGAATTATGAAGTTGTCCTTGGGTGAAAATTACTTACATTTTGAATAACATATTTATAAAAAAAAAATGCATGGCAGGGGTCATAAATAGATGGAGGTCAATGGGTTATTAAGAAGTCAAGTGCAACTTCAACCTGTTTCTCATGCTGTGCTGGCGAGAAGATTCTACATGTCATTTGGTTCCGTACAACTGCTTGAAAATGGCATGCCCTAAATAATGACCGCTCTCATAGAGTATTCATTTATGTATTAAAAAAGCGGACTCTGCTCTCATTTCCCTGCTTTATCGCCTTGTACTGATGACAAAGTAGGCAAGGCCTAGGCTAGGTGGCGCCGTGGAGTAATTTATAACCACATCAATCCCTTTACCTTCTGTGCAGGCCTTGGTCATTGTCATTTTTGTCCGAGAGGTGAGTCACATAACCCCACTTACAAACAGGATCCTATTAATATCTGGAATGATGAACCTTACCCTTACCTTCATACCAGGTATGGTAATAGCCCAACAGCCTACCTGTGTTCCCTGTGACCCTCCATCACTGGCCCTCTACTCAGGGTGAAATCTATTAGGATTATTTATTCAAGTCAATAACAACTGGGATGGCATAAAAAAGAAATAATTCAAGCCATCATTTATGTGTCGCTGACAGAGAATGTACTGTGCCTGTTCACATGCTGAATTTACCTGTAATGCAACAATGTATGTCTGTGTACTCTGAACTCTCCCAAACTGCACTCAGTCTGGTGATCATCAGAGATGTCATTTTAGGGGCCACAGTCAAAGTGACACGCTGAAAGCTGTAAAATGTTCTTGACTTTGTCTCGAGAATTAGAATTTTTTGGTAATTATGTGTGGAACTGCTAATTGTCTGGGCTAAATGGTGGTGCCAAAATGGGTCCCAACGCACTTTAGTTGTTACATCTGTTAATTGTTGAGGACATAGATGGAACAATTCACTAGATGAGACTGTAGCACATTATATTTCACTCAAACACAATAAAATTTACTTGATCTTGGCAAGGAACAAGTAAAGCAAAATTGCTTCAAGATGGTTGCAAGACAGTTTAAATGCAATTCATTTCCCCTCACTCCTCCGCAAAAAAGAGAAAACGTCTCTGGGTTTAAATCCTGATTTATATTACATCTTAGTGACAAAGTTTCAATATTTCAGCCAGTTTATTCAACAAGGACTCAAGAAGGGCAGCTAGAAATATTGGACTGCATAATTGCCAATTCATACCCTGAAATTGACAGTTGAAGGAAAACAGAAAATTATATTTTTCAATGAATATTGAAATAAACCACACTATTAGGATCTCTTTGGAAAAAAGGAGATGTAACCAGAGAGGCATCCTTCAACGCAGATTAGGGCACAAATGTGCAGAGAAATAATATGCACGAGCGAGATTATTGTGTAAAGATTCTGCAACATGTAATCAAAGTGGGCCCTATTTTCCCCTTCATCAGCTGTCCAGCGTAAGTACTGGCAGCAAGAGGAATCCAATTTAAATTCCACTCTACCAGGAGATGGTATTGTTTCATTTTATGTGTGCTTTGACATTTCTGGCTGTTAATATAGAGTAAAATCCAGAAGTATTTACATAAATATGACATTAAACTGTATTAGAAATTAAGACTGACACATTTGCTGTGGTTGACTATGGGAGGAGGAGGCTGATTGAGTTTCTAGGTCAAAAGGTTGAGAGGACAATATATATGCTGGGTGCAGAAACGGGAAATGTGAGTATTGGCCTACTGATATGTTTATGGAAGTTTACCATTTCTACTAAGTTACTACAGCTAAAGTGAGATAGAAAAGAAAGTAAACAATCACCAAACATCACAATCATATTCTATTCCAAATCTGAATCAACATATGATTATTTTTATAGAGGACAAGTGATCATTTCAAACCGGACCTCTTCTCAACACAGAAACTTAAACCAGACATACAGCACGTATACTTTTGAAAAGAACGAACCAGCACGGCAATGCATCTTGTAACATAATGCGTAATGCGTCATATACATTATATATAATTTACTCTGAATGTAACCGAGACGTAAAACTCATACTGACGTGTGCTACAACACCATAAATAAGGGCATTGGAAACTTATATCGTTTAACTCATCATGACAAAGAAAAACTTCAATGACATAAGAGACGCAACAAAATGATTTAATTTGACTCAGGATTTATCACTTCAAGAAAGTGATTTTTTACTCGTGTCTTTCACTTTAGATAACCTGTTTATTAAATGACATTCACAGCTGCAGAACTACACAGTGTTCAAGGTTAATCTTATAATAATACAACCTTTTCCTGACACAATTTCCTGTAAAATAAACATGTACAAATACTGCTCTTAGTTTGAAATGAGTGTGCTGAAGTGAAATCAGAAGAGCACAAAACATTTTGATTCAATGGGGTATGGGGTTATAGTTAAGCACTTTCCTGAAACAACTAAAGGAAGCTGGAGTCTGAATGTACATGATTTCCAAGTTCACTTATGTATGACTTTAAGATACAAGTCAAGAGTTCTCCTATGAACACTGCAGAGTGCTACTCAAGTATACAGTACTTTATATTCAGTGTTACATTACTCTATTTTCTCTCATCTTTACCCTCTCTCTCCCTGAGATCAATGTCCTTATGCAAATCAAGGGTTCCTGTTTAGATCTACAGTAGAACAGACATTCCTAAATAAATCTGCATTAAAGCGTCATACATATTTCATGGACTTAAAGTGCAGTAAGAGCAAACCATTTTGGATAGCGCAGCTCTGTGGAGTTTACAACAAAGCAGAAAGTAAGAAGAAAATGAGGTGCAGCGTGACATCATGTGGTATTGATGAGGCCTTAGTACATTTGAGATAACCAACAGTGGATTGTGAACGTGCCTTAGTTGTCGATAATGAGACACAAAGACAAAGAAATTTCAAAAGATACCAAGAGTCATTAGAGCCAGATGAGATGTGTGTAGTAGCAGCCGGCAACCATGGATTTGGTTTCAGGTTACCCTCCCTAGTCGTGGAGCTTTTAGGCTCACTTTTCACTGTTTGGCTACTCTAATGCTGGAGGCAAAGTCCTCCAGCACTGCAGAGGTACAGTCCCCTAAGTACTGAACTGTTTCTGTGAAGAAGTGAAATAAAAATACTAACCCTGAAGAGTTTATCTGAGGCAAAGCCACGTACGCTCTGTACACATTGTCATTGCTCAGCCATAGGCTGACTGTAACAAATACATGGCATAACACTGCACATTTCCACTGCCGCATTATATTGAACAGACTTAAATGAGTTCGGAGTAATAAAGCTATTTGCAAGTTTTATTGCACAAACAATATTCTACCATGTGTCAGAAATAATTTCACTGAATTGCAAAAAGAAACTGAGGAGCCAGCAAACATTTCCACCATCCCTGCTTAGAAAACCTCCCTGTGTCATGCCTCAAATTTACGATAACAGTTAAATTAAGTAAAAGGGTTAAAATGCTGGAAGGCAATATTGATAATTCCATTGAAAATGCAGAGAGAGTTTGTCAATATTAATTTTCCTGAACCCAAAGGAGCATCCCAACTGGTGTGTCATTTATTCACAGGGCCTGAATCATGCACTCTGAAGTTAAAATCGACCCATGTTAGACCCCACCCCCCACCCCCCCCCGGGGCAAAGAGCTATGGCCACAACCTTTGACCCGAACAGACTAATCTTACCAAAAAAAAAACAAAAAAAAAACAAAAAACGAAAAACACTGTGTTCATCTCTGGCCACATACATTTTAAAGGCTTTCAGTGCTGCATTCAACAGAAATCAGGAGCAAATCAAAAGTCTCTTACCTTTTTTCTTCAGGAAAGCTTTTCTGGTGGCCAAGGGACTCTGACATACTTTTGGGTTCTGTAGAAATTTTACAGCAGTGGTAATCTGGGAAGAGAGAAATGTGATTTAATTCCTCACAATGAGATAACGTGAGAGGAAGGAGAGTGATGCTTTTAAACACTACAAACAACAGTCTAGACCTTTAAGAAAAAGGTTCGTTATAAATCCAGACAAAAAAAAAAAAGAAAAAAAGAAATTGAAAAACATAAATGGATTCCATTTGACAGTTGCTTCTAAGCCCCCACACCCAGCAGTGAGGGGAAAGACCACCTGACCACTTTCCACCAGCTAAATGTGGAGAATGACCAAATCAGCAGTTATAAAATTAGCCCATCAAGAGTGCTGGACAAATGGAGTATGGAGCTTAATTTGCTATTACCCTCTTAAAGACAAACTTCCATTCTTAAGTGCGCAGTGGAAGAAAATCTATACTTAATGCAGAGGTGATCATTTGTATCTAATAACTTGAGAATCCTAGGCTGAAAACTTCTGTAATTCTTCCAGTTAAAAACCTGCCATGATCAAATCACCCGGCCTGAATGTTGTAATGACTTGAAACGTTAATGCACTAGAACGTTAAATAGCATCAGAACATCAGTAGTTTTAAGTGCACTGCATTCATCGATTCTATTATGTTTTCCTTCGAGATGCACCTTAATTTTCCACCCCAGTATGCATTTCCAAGAATTGGAGGGAGAAAAAAAAAATCTTCCTCAAATGGCATTAAAACATAAATTTGAAGTGGGCGCCATGAAGTGGCGCCTCCTAAAATAGATAAATATGTAAGAACACAGAGAAAGGGGAAACACACTGGAGGGGAGGTTTAGATGACTTATTATCGCACCTGTGGTCCCCGTGATTCAATTGTAAAAGTCATCCCTCTAATAGGTTGAAAGGTTTTGATTACTCTTCTTTTCTCTTAGTGTTGAAAGATACAAAGTGATTGAGCGCCCTGCCAGTGGTAATTCGTTTTGGGTAATGCATTGCATACACTATGAACCCGTTTCAATCCAAAAGAATTGCAGTTTAAACTTGTCCACGGGGTAGGTGTGGCAGAGAAGCTGTGTAAAGAGCTAGATTTCTGTGACAAACAAACAGTACAGTGGAGGATCGAGGCACAGGCATCTTTATCAAACTTATGAAAAAGACTTTGACTTTTCTTCAGCAGGCTGAAAAGCAACTTAATAGCATGTTTATTCTAATTAGGTACACACATGAAAATACTGTGCAGCGTCCACAGACACCCTGCAGTACACTGTATTTGCAGTAATGAAACTTCAATAGTGAATTTTATCAAAATGTACCAGATTCTTCCCGAGAGATGCTGCCACAATTCATTTAGACACTAATCTACCATTTCACTGTGACACTACCGTGACCTTGATGTACGTAAGGGTTATGCAAGGGGTATGGAATTTCCTGGATCTCTATATGCTGAGGGCTTATTAAAGTCAGTCACCCGGAACCTTCATTGTGACAAGCAGATTAAACCATTTGCATGGTGAACCCCCAACTGATGTTCTGGGCCAAAAGATACAGTCAAAACACAGAGAAAATATCCCTTTGATAACAAGACAAAATCACCCTGCTCTTGGCAAAGCTCTTCTGTTCAAGTAAGTGAGCCAACAAGACTACTTGTGGTTAAGGCCGAAAGCAGAGATAATGAACACACTAAAATCTAATATCCTAATATTTATTCCAGTAAATAACAGAGTGATGTAGGCCCTGTGAGAGGGAAATGACCTAATAGAGGAAGAATATGCTGAATGAGCACCCCTTGTTTACATTCCCTTAAAATTTCAGTAGCACAATATTGACAAGAAAATTGTGTCAATGTTAATAGGCATAAGTATGACATCTTAGTAAGGACCACAGCTAGCTCAGCGGCAAACTAATGAGGTAAATGTCCATTTGGTTAAAAGTGTAGTGGTAGATCTTCAGGGAGAGGAAAAGTGCACTTCTTAGCAGATGACATAGATGCTTTGCACAAGTTCCACCCAGACACCTCAATCAATTATAACCACATTGCACAGATTTCAGTCTTGTCTTGTTATTGACTTATGGATCACCCCAGTTATAGTGTTGGGTAGCACACAACTGGGCTTTTAGGGGGGTAAGATGGATAACAGTACAAGGCTCATTTGGGTTGGCAGCATAAATAACTAAAATAAAAAGTGGGTGCATTTCCTTCCTTTCAGGAAACTAGTGAATCATTTTTGTTTGAAACAACAATTAAGCTTTAGTGTAAGCTACTTGTAAAGCTCTGACTGCTAATGCACCAAAGTGCTTCATGTTAGGAGCAATAATCTTTGTAAACCAGATAACCAATAAAGTGTCAGGTAAAGCCGAAAAAGAGGCGAAAACTCAATCATAGGAAGAGATAACATTAACCAACACACTTAAAGACAGTGAAGTTGATGAAAGGACAAGATTACAGCAGTGTTATTGAGTTTGAATTGGACAAGACTTTGCACTGCACTTGTCTGAAAATTACAACTGTGATACCTTGAATTGTGAGAAATGAGGATGAAATCCAATTATGTTCGAACCGCATGGTTGGACGCCTGAGGAAATCCATGTAACCAGTTGTATATTTTTGCTCTAACTAGTAACATTACTTAAACATTATATACCGTAAGAGCTATGGATGTTTTGCAGGTATATGTTGTGAGTCTGAGGATATGAGCAGTTGGGAAATTCAGACTCTCTGTACTGGAACAGCAATGCGTTGTTTGTCTTACATTTGTTTCTTTTGGCTAGTTTCAGTATGTGAAATAAACTGGAGAACAACATTTAAAACACAACAGATGAAAAAGACGCCTCACAAAAAAGGATTCAAGGCTCTTGTTTTCAGTTTTAATAATTCGGGCGACATCAAACCACAGATTATCACTGGCAATTACAAGGAAATGAAAGTGCTATAGGGTAAGAAGGGATTGTTTGCAACTGTGACTTTTCTTTCTTTAAGATTCACTGATTGTTGTTGACTCTTGCGCCTCTTTTTGAAACATTTTAATGAAACTACTACGCATCTTACCAACCCAGGGTTTATCTGAACTTAATTTTTATCCAAAGGCTCATTGTATTCCAAAAGATTATTCAAAAGTAGCGTGTCACATCTACTTTCCTTTTTTTTTTTTTTTTTTTTTAAATTAAATTACTACACACAAGCAACTTTTTTTTTCCATGTCAACTGTTTCACAAAAAGGTGTGTACAACACATTTCGTCTGTAACAGTGAAGACATTCAGAGGGCATGATGGAACTAGAACTTGGGTGAGGGGGTGCAATGGAGGGGCTAAAAGGAAATCATTAGCAAGTATAGGATTCAGTCTCAGTGTGAATCAATTCATTCCAAATTGCCCCGGCCTGTACATTTGTGGAGAAGTGCCCCTGATATAATAACACACTGATAGACACGAACAAAAATTGTGTTAGGCTAGTCTCAAATTTCCCCCCCAAACACACGTTTGGAGGACCAAAAGCGAGAGAAAGTGAGAGACGCGAAAAATGAAGCTCTATATTAATTTGGTGCTTTCATGGATGATTTGCTATCAGGGGCAGCTGTCTTAAATGACTTAACCCAATACCTTTCTGATACCAGAGCCCTGCCAGAAGCGAATGAAGTTTTAATGCAATTACCGTATTTCCTTTAGTCGCCTGACTGCTTGATGTGGCCAACAGTGCTTTTTAATCTTTTTAAAAGAGCAGCTTTAAATGCCCTTCTAATTGTGACATCTTTCCCGCCTTAATGTGACCTTTAGCGGAGGAAGCAAGGCCTCATGGGAGCTGCTATAGGAAATTATTGACCCTGAGAGACATCAGGAAGTGAGGTGCAGACTCGACCATTTAGCTAAGCTCCACATCTACACTCGTTCAGACACTGCAGGCTACATCAAGGGCCCCGCTGGAGTTGAACCATTCTGAGAATGACTGTACAAAAAGAGACGTTTGTTTATTTCTTTCATCACTTTTGGGCAGTGCTTTTCGGAGAAGCTGCAATGTGGGAAAATTAAATGAAAAACCATTACCGAAACTGAACTTCAGAATCAGTAAAATCTGATAAAGAATGGTGTTAATCTGTGGTCCTTTTTTTCTTCTTCTTTTGAAAAACTATGAGATAGTATAGACCTACTTCTACATGTGTTAAAACTTTACTGTCAGTAAATACAGGGGGTTGTTTTTTGTGTCATTTACTCTGAATGTGGTCAGTCTTTATTGAATGGTCCTAATTTTGAAAGACAACATTTCAACAGATGAAAAAGGGTCATGGAAAACTTCATTGACATTTGCATTGCGAAGGTTTAAAAATAACATACAGCACTGTATCAGTGTCAGCGTTAGAGCCATGGGCAAGGCTACAATCATGACATCAAAAGCGCATTATGCAATTTTTGTAAAGGGGGGGTTGGTGGACGGAAATCAAGCTTTTTTTAAGACCACTGCTCGTACAGACCAAACTTTCCATTCAGCAGCATTTCCCTATCACAGCTCTGTCATCACAAACATGGAAAAGTTGAGTAGGTTCAGCAGTAAGAAACACTGGGGGCTAAAGTACATTTGATCCAACGAGGACACTATCAAACTGTAAAAACTGTGCAGAGTACAGATAAACACAGATAATAGAGCCTTGGGAGTCGTGCTGAGGCTATCAAGGAAAAAAAATGACTTGTTCCTTTCTCTTCTGTAGCTACAGAAAGAAATTTTACTACGGTGTGAAAGACTGTAGCTACATATTTAATGACTCAATATGCTAGGTATGCATGATGATGTCATGTGACTGCTTCATTTCCTTTACATTGTAAATTTAAGTAAAGTAATAGGTCAAAAAGTGTGTTGTTTGTTTTTACAGGTTGTGGTTTGCAAAAGAATAATTCATCTTCTTTCAGGATTTGCTTACATGATAAAAAAAAACAAAACAAACAAAAACACATCATTGCAGCATGAACAAACAGTGGTGCATGCTAACATCCAAACATTTTAAAATAAAAAAGATGAATCAACATCAAAGTACCTCTTTTACTCTTGTGAGATCGCCAGAAAAAC